TGTTTTCTTTCCACCCTGTACATACACGTCAGTACCTATTCACGGACGTAAGGGTAAATCGATTTCGTTTTCAGCGTTAATAAATCAAGCGACTAAAGGAAAAAATTCTAATTACTTTCAATAACTCACGATCCACCCACGCTTCCTCATCAGAATTCAGTTTCACAGGCTTGAAAATTCACGCTCCGTTGCAGTTTCTACTTTCCCGGGGCAAACGCCGCGACGTTTGATAATTGAGGAATTGAGGATGTATTACAACAGTGGACATGTGTTAACGCGTCTAGAAATGTAAACGCGTTTCCCATCATTTACATACAATAGCAGACAGCTCGTGCGTGCGCGGTTTGGTTATAATGAGGATTTATTTGAATTCAATAGGGGGAGGGATTTGACAAATTTCGACGGCGCTTGGTTTCTTGGCGAAATTCAACAGGTTGATTTCGTTGTCACTGTGTCGGTCTAAAGCGAAAATGGTCGTCCAATTCCTTTGTTGATGCGATTATGTATACGTAAACTAAAATCAGATTATCTGGCAAAATTTTATTTATAACATTTACAGTGAAGTGCATACATTACGGAGCAATAAAAGATCATCGACAATTTATGATATATATTGTAAAACACAATCATCCACTTGATCACATTTTAAAGCAAGGAATCTCTATTTTGATACTTTTTTTTTTTTTTTAATTCAATTGTCGAGTGGGAAACTGAGGATACTTTTTTCTTGAAAATTCTCTGGAAACATTGAAAAATGTTTTTCGTAACTGGGTCCACTTTGAAGAGTAAAGCGTTTCCCTTGCAACAAGCGCTTGAATTTGCTATGTAATTTTCTTTATATTATTATATATTTATAAATTTAAATATATATATATTTATTTATATTTGTATTCTTTATATTATTTGTATTTTATTGAGCACTGAGTATTAGGATTAAGTGAAGATTCAAGAAATCTGTCATTTAATTCCATCGTTCAAAATGTAACAAAATCGTGAAAAAAAATTAAAAGGTCGTTGCAGAGAGGAGATTACAGTCTTCAAGACTAACCATGACGAATTTAGTCTTTTCTTTATTGCTTTCAGAGACGTTTGAATTTTTACAACTTTCGAGAAAACTCCATTTACTGCATCGAAACTGCGAAAATTTAGAAAAATGCTTCATGGTTTAAAATATGAGCGGATTGTCGCACGATCTTCTTTTTTTTTAACGACGTTACGATTTAAATTATCGGTAATTTTTCAAGTTTAATTTCGATCGCGTAGATAACACTGCCAGACAATAGTTGTCGTAATCGCTTCAACAAAGGTTCGTACGAACGATTTTACTTATTTTACCAGTCTTGTAAACTCTTTTATCACGCAACAGCGAGTCACGCTCACGGTAGAAATTATTATGCAAATGATTCGCAACGAAGTTTAACGTTTAATTTTAACTTTAATTTCAATGTGCAAAATCGTCGACGAAAGGATGCAATTTATTCGTAATATCGCTTTATCGGCGCAACGTTAAAGTAACTTTAATTACAGCACATTTCGCCGACAAAAATATCGTAATTACAAAGGAAGACCATCTTTTTAATTAAAGAGAAAGTCAATGAATTTCAAACGTAACTGTGCCGTGCCTTGCTCATTATATGACGTCAATAAACACCAAACAATTAAATATCAAATATTTACGAATTTTCATCGAATAAAGGATAAAATCAAGTCTCGAGCCTATTCGTAATATTGCAATTGTTCGGTTGTTCGGAAAGTAACTTGTATTACTAGTTGTATTTTTAACCATACTGTCATTATATATTTTGACAGCTGACGTTTCAAGGTTTACTTAAAAAAAAATTTTTTTTGATTATGTGCAGTTGTTTTTTTTGGGAGGGGGGGGGGGGATTGTCGTATCAAAAATGGAAAAATAAACGAGTAATAATGTATGAAGATGTAATGAAAATAAAGTTTGCTCAATTTTGAGATATGAGAGAAATCGTTTCATCTCCAGTCGATACAACACATTATAGTATGTATACTGTTTGTATATAGTGACAGGCAGGAATAATTGGATCATGCTATATGCAAAAAACATGGAATAGAATTTTTTCATTTAAAGGTTCATTTTGAAGAAAATAGATTTGGTCCCTGTAATGTTTACAGTTAAGAGTTAATAAATCTTAGTATACACGTACTTGTGTGAAAAATATTCAAATTCGAAATTTATTCGACATTTTCTATTTATTGTCGCATAGTAGCGAAATTCTATTTTTTAGAACGACCTCTTGTTAATTATTCCTCTTCCTGTCACCACGATGCTGGAATTCTCTGAATTCGAATTTACACTTGAGTAGATTTTCAAAAATTTCGACTTCCTCGAAAACGACGAAACGTCACACGGGAAAGTTTCTTCCTTCATTCTCGACTTAGTTTTACATGTAGAATCTCACGTTGATCGTGATTTCGATTGTACATACACGCCCCGTATAAAATCACGTTCTTCGTCCGATTTTCTGTGTCTTAATAAATCAGCGCTCCGCACGGGGAACGCGTTGCAACGTTCATGTCTGTAGTCTCCGCTGGACACCAACCTTCAATCTCCAACAATCGGCACTTAAACCCGTACGTTTATGGCTGTGAACCGTCTGTTACATCGGCGTTGCTTCAGGGTCACCTCCGCGTTCCCTTTTTGGTCGTGTCAACTCGTTGTAACCGTAAAAATAGTGCCGTAGGTGCCACTTTAACGCTCGAACAAGCGACGGGGGGTGAAAAAGGGCTGATAAAACGACCGGCGCGTCCGTGGGCGTATGACGATACGCGTAGACACGCTCCGTGTCTGACCGAGGTGAAAGCGAAGCGTCTCCCATTGTTTGTTTATTTATTTATTTATTTAAACTCTGACGGACAGAGATGCTGAAACTAAAATGAATTGGAATTCGGTATATATTACAGAGAGAGAGAATACAGAGAGAGAGAGAGAGAGCGAGAGAGGATGAAGCAATGAATACGAGAATAAATATGTACTGAATAATAATATTATAATATAATATTATATTTATTATTAATAATATATATATTAATATTATAATATATTTATTATCATGTATTAATATATATTACTATTATATTGTAATATATTTATTATCAGGTATTAATATATATTAATATTATATTGTAATGTGTTTATTATCACGTATTAATATATATTAATATTATATTGTTATATATTTATTATCATGTATTAATACATATTAATATTATATTATAATATATTTATTATTATGTAGTAATATATATTAATATTATATTATAATATGTTTATTATCATGTATTAATACATATTAATATTATATTATAATATATTTATTATTATGTAGTAATATATATTAATATTATATTATAATATGTTTATTATCATGTATTAATATATATTAATATTATTATATTTATTATTAATAACATATATTAATAATAAATCGCGTTGGAACACTTTCGCCTAGCCTAAGTGTAGGTGGAGGAGCAACCAGCAGAAAAGCGAGGGGCATCCCGGACTCATTGAACGGGAAAGAGTCGCTGATTTTTGCCTGTCGGCTCGGTCGTTGATATTACACCCCTGCTCTGCGGCTGCACGTCATCGCGTGGGTGGAGATGCGAGGATAAAACGACGGGTGGGTTGGGCCTCGGACCTCGGATGGTTTCGTTTTGTTGTGCCGGCACGACGCTCGAATCTCGATCTCTGTTTCGCTGGCGGTAGCCGGCTTCTGAATTTCGTACGCGTCGATAAATCAGAGTCGGTTTGGCTCCTCCGCGGCCTGGACCGACACGTTTGCACGATATAACGGATACAAATTGCACCGTGCCACTTCGAGCTGGATTTTCAATGGATTTTCTAGTATCTGCCAATGACTTTCGGCGTGCTTGGCGTGCCTGTAAAATTTGTGAATTTCACAGGGATCGGTGACGTTGATAGGTCGTCATCGTTCGATTATGCTTGGAATTTCAGCCCATTGGCGATTTTCTCTTTGTTTTTCGTTCGCAGAATCTCCGGCCTATTCTACAGAATAAATCGAGACGTTTTAAACCTCCAAGTTTAGTGCACGAGCACTCGTGTAAATCCGATCTTTGATTATCATCGAGGAATCAGAATCGTTCGATTCGTAAATTTCTGAAGCTCTTCTTGCAAACTGCGAATATTTTCGCGAAGAATGTCATTCTAAGGATATCATTGCCGATTTTTATGCAAAACCGTAGTTTTGGAAATATAATTAAAAAAAAAAAAAAACAGAACCTAGATAGAAAATATATTATAATATTGATGTAATAGTATATAATATAGTACTATAAATTAGTATTAGTATAATACTATAAGTATGTATACTACTTATAATACTATAAGTATGTATACTACTTATAGTATTAGTACATTGCTATAAGTGTATATGCTACTTATATTATTAGTGTAGTACTCTAAGTGTATATGCTACTTATAGTATTAGTGTAGTACTCTAAGTGTATATACTACTTATAGTATTAGTGTAGTACTCTAAGTGTATATACTACTTATAATATTAGTACAGTGCTATAAGTGTATATAACATAATACTTATAGTATTAGTATAGTACTATAAATATATTACATAGTACTATAAAACATATCATAATATAGAAAATATATTCTTTTCATTATTACGTGCGTTCTGTGCAATTTTAAATTGCTTAAATCTCCCGTAAGTGCACAGAAGCCCGTAGTCTAATCATTTATCGCCCAATAACGATACAAATTAGTTCGTATACACAGGAGATCACTCCCACGTCTTTCACGTAATCTTCCTCTCGTCCTATGATTTCAGAGCTATTGTTAGTCAGAGTAGAGGCAATCTCCTATTCAGTTGTCTTTCAATGTCAGACTACGTAAGGTTATTGTTGTTAATGCGTCACGCATATTATATTATAGTCTGGCAATGTACAACGATGATATCAATACGTTTATCTGCGCTGTTCGAGCCGAGTAAGTCGATCGTTCGTCGCGGTTATTACTCGAGCATGATTCGAAAGCAAATTCCCCGCGTTCTTTCCGACGCGTTGGACGAAGGTCGTTAGGAAATAATACCGTGGATAAAAACATCAATCGCGAAATTGGTAACTCTTCGAGGCAGTAACTCTTCATTAATCTATGGTACGTCGGTTTCTTTTTTTTTTTTTGCTTTCATCAACAAGTTATTTATCGACGCATTTCTGTTTCCAAAAATGTTCGTTTCGTGTAAAAAAAATTATTGGACTTCTCCGCGTAATATTTATTCTCGGAAATATTTCTTTCAAGGGAAACGCGATATATAGAATTTCGTGGGAATATGGAAAATTGTTGTACGTCATTGTTGAACTGTGCCGTTGAAGAATTTCACACGACGTTTTTATTGCTGCAAACGATGCTTTATTGCTCTAAGGTTGCAAGTTGCCAAGACGCGCCAAGGGATTAAATTCTCAATATTTAAAATCGAAAAGATATCGAAAAGATCCTTTCAATGTTCATGATCAGAAATTAAATTTAGAATCTAAAGAGGTAAAGAGAGATTTGATGAAATTGCGTTTGTAAATTTTATGCAATTCTGTAATGAACAATTCGCAGAGGTCTTTCTAGGTCATTGTTATCAGAGAGACTTGTTACATTATCGTTGCGTCATCACCCAACTTGGCGCCACTGAATTTACATACTTAGTCATTCAATGAAATTATTCGAGTAGCGTGTCTGCGTCATCATTGTTCCATACAGGGTGTCCCATCTAAGTTTTCCATCGGAAATATTTTTGCAGATAGATTGTTTAAAAAAGTCGGCTACTTAACGAGCAAAAAATTTTAATAAACGTGGACGCGTTAATATCGGAGATTATTAGATTTCTTCTATCTTAAATCTGTAATAATCTGCAGTCGTATTAACAACGATTGTGCGTGTGCGTTTATGAGAAATGAACGAGGGACATGTGAAACATATGTTGCAAAAAAAATAATAATCTTAAAAATATATAAATACTTTCTTTCGTAAAATGGTATACAGCATTAAATTCGTCGTTAAAAAATAATAATTTCATCAATGTACACAAAAACTGTAGCTTCATTAAATAATTTCCGAGATATTGGACAAGATATATTCCTCAACTTTGAGGTTAGTTTTCACTCCTTCGACATCAATGGCTGCTGATGAAAAAAAAAATATTTTTTAAAAAAACTACATTTATGCCAAATTTCGTCAAATGTTCTCTTTTAGTGACAAAGAAGTCTCAACAACTCCGAAACAAATGATTTTTGGGCCTATATTTACTTAATGGAACTATCGACTTACGTATAAAATTTCGATCGGAGAAATTTTATAACAATAACTTTTTAACCTAAATTTTTATCTATATATTTTACAAAAAAAAGTCATTTAAATCTAAATAATGTACTGTTTCGTATCTATAAAATTTCGTACAAAAATTATAAACTGGTCGTTTTGACCACTTTGGTTAAGATTCATTTCCTCGAGTATCACGCACTCCTGAGGTTTGCTACCAACTTTTTTTTCAAACACCCCGTACGTACCGAGCTTTCGAAAGGCCAGAGAAACAGAAGTAAGAAATTACGAAACTCGGCGGCGCGCCCGGGCATAATTGAAAGAAAGAAATTGTCAGGTAATCAAGCCTGGGGTGATCAATCAAAATAGACACAATTTTCTTTTCTCCTTTTTCGAAACGCGTTAACTGGATTGCATTTATCGCTGACTCTGCATAAATTCGACTTTCCAGAGAGAACGTGTACAAACTCGCGTCTCCTGTTTATTAGCCTGTACGGTGACGTTATCCGTTTCTCATTCGCGTCACGTCGTCCCTATGATTCTTTCCGCGGTGAAGAGGCTCGACCAAAAAACCATGGAAATCGTGCTCGACGAGATTCCAAGAAATTGTGCCCGTACGTACAGCGGTCGCGCTCGTCAATTGTGAAAGTTCAGTTGTTTGCCGGTACACGTCGCGGACACGCACGAGAATACCAGATGCGTTAGAATCCAGCCGCGATTTACAATTCTCCGTGATCGAGGTTACGATTTGAATGATTTCTGTTGTTCCGCGAGAACAAAATTACGACATTTTTTTTTTTTTTTAATCCAGAGATTAAATTATATTCTCCAAGGACCGTTTCGATTCTGTTGTGTTGATTCAATTTGAACAATGTCGTTCCTCGGTCCATATTTCGCGCCGATGGAAAACAATTCTTCTGAAGTCTTGCTAAGTCAGACCTGGGCGAATAATAACTTGTAAATAAGTTTTTGAAGCAACTTTCCTTAGTATTTGGCAAATAATGGATTTCAATTAATTTTGGTTAATAAATAAAGGAATTTGAAGTTTTGAATATGTAAGTAATGTTGAGAAAAAAATAATAAATTGAAGAACTGATTATTTGATAATTGAAAATTTGTCTTTGAAATAAATGTCAATGGAACCAAAGTATTCGAATGAGAGAAAGAAAGAAATAATCGATGAAAATCATTTCTATCAAAATCGAATATACAAATAAAGATCCTGGCAAATGATAAACAGCTTATTTCACGAAATAACAAGTAAATCGTTCAATTGGAAATAAATTTATGCTTTGATACTTTAATTTCGTTTTTTTACAAATAGATTATTCCTGAAATAACTTTAAAAAGTAATTTAAGAGTAACGTTATTTGACAGTTCTTCAAAACGCCCCGGGTCTGCTCGTTACGCGATAACGAAGACGTACGATCGTCATCAAGTCATTCGGTATCTCTCAGCGTGTAAAAATTGCGTTTGATAAGCGGTTGATTTATCCGCGCTCATATTTTTTCCACATGTTTTTTGCAGCCACGTCTGCCGGGTTAATGTAGATCCACGGTGAAAGACCTCATATATATACAAGATTCGAAATCTCTTATCTCTTTACCAGCGTCATTGATAAAATATATGGAATGATGGTTGAAAGCGTCTGAATGCCGCCTGAGATCTGGAATCAGTGCGCTTTTGAAAATAAATCTGACAGAGTTTCTGCCGGGTTTCTGTTTATTGCCGCGACACGACATTCGCTGTTTCTACTACGTATCTCTATCTGGCAGGTATTTTTATACGATTTAATCGACGCCTGCTGGCAGCAGCAGCGTGCACTGATTCGATTTGGCGTTTATTACTGGCCATTACGGGCAATTACGGTAGTTGCGCGATTTTTCCGTTTTTCGCATTTCGAAATCCGGTTCGGTGAAACGAAAGTTATATGAACGTGTTATGTACAGTGACTCTCGTTGATGTTCTGACTAACTGTTATAATTTTGAGAAAAAAAAAAAAAAAAGAAAAAAGAAAAAAAGAAAGAAAAACTTGAAAAATCGTAAAAAAAGAAGAAAAAGAAAAACAGTAAACCTGGACTTATTTTTGATCTTAAAGTCTGTGCTTTCGTTTTTATTCTAAAATGTTTTTAGATCAGAGTTGGCTGACTGGCGGACCGCGAGCTCATGTTCCTACTTTGCTAGTCGCTAGCGTTACCCCCCACCACTACCGTGAGAGAGTACCGGGGGCTCGTACACGGCCAACTATAAATTTGCAGTGGAAGGGATAGCGCTAGTGGTGGCAAGGGCTCGCGAGCCGCCAGTTAACCACCTCTGATGCAGAGGATAGGTAAATGAAGGTACCTCTATTCTCGAAAATGCTGTAAATTGTCACAGTGAAAACATTTGTATCTAGGATGGATTTGAAGATTGAAACTTTACAACGATCATCGAAAATTTGATATACAATTTTTTTTTTTCGTCAATTTGAACGTTGGATGAAATTACGATTTCTTGATGTTTCGTTATCGAGGCGTAATCTTTAAAATTTAAGTAAGGAAAAAAGATCGTACGTTGAATTCTCGATGGTGTAAAGGGGGAATTTCAATCTTCGAATCGTGAATTGTAGATTCAGTCGTGAAGGAAATTTTTCAATATTTTTACATTCGGTGATCATTTGTAGCATTTTTTAGAAGAAAAGTGTCGACATTTACAGTTTAAGAACGTCTTCTTTAACTTCAAGTTTATTATCATCTCTCTCTACAATTCTTTTATATTAATTAAATAAATATATGTATAATATTAAAATATTAATGTAACATTAATAAATATTAATACATAATAAAATTATATTAATATTTATATTGCGGTACATTAATATCACATTGTTACGTTACATCAATATCAATGAGAGTCACTGTACAACATCGAGGTTTCTAGACTAATTGAAAAGAGTTTGCCGAACAAGATTTCCGTCTCAGAGACCTATTTTTCAAGTACACAGCTGTCAGAGACGAAGGGCGGCTCTTTTTTAAAAATATCGGAAGAGAAAAAAATGTCGATGTCAAGTCGCGGAAGAACAATTTTAATTAAAAATACACGCCGCGGCGGGAGAGAAGGTCGATTTTTATCGAGACTTGAAGTCGAAAGCGTGAAGCCTGAAAATGTAGGTCGCGAATGATTAAATTAATAGCTTCTTTTTTTTTTTTTTTTTTGTCAATGCGTTTAACCGAGCCTGTCGAATCCGCAGCCATGCTGTTTGCCTGACCCGTTAAACCTCTCGAGCCTTTGGCTTTTTTCTCTCGCCGCGCGTTAATTATCGATGGCGCGCGCGCTCTCTCGCTCTTTGCAAAGACCAACCCGTTTCTCTCCGGCGTTCTGATTTCATAAATCATCGGGGCTCGTCTGCGAGCCAACGTCAATTTTGTTTGTGCGTCGCGAGGATGAATTAATTGATATCGCGGAGCGTAAATTGACAGCGAAGTGCCCCGACAGATGTTTTCGCCGTTCTCAATTAGCACTTTGCATAATGTCCGTGCCTGAAAGGGACTGAAGAACGCCCTGCGCGCGTTCAGATTTCTGAAATCTTTGAAAAGTCGTGGATCCAGATTGCCACAAAAAAAAAAAAAAAATTAAATACACAGCATCCGTTGGTCTTGAAATTAGCAAATTTATCACATGCTCGGACAGGATGATTTCGGGGATTATGCGACGGATTATCCTCCCGGTCTGAGAAATCTGAAAGCACGATAATTCTCTTTTCTTTTCGCTCGGTCCGTTGAAAAGAAGTTTCTCGCGACACTGTCACTCGCCGTGCGATACCAACCATCTCGCCTCCACTTCAATTCTTCTTTTTTTTTTTTTTAAATTTTTTGTGCAGGTCGAATCGGTGGATTTGGCATTAAAGATCTTGGATAAGTCTCAAATCCGGGGTAAAACTCTGTCCGTTCAGAGGGCGAAGTTTCAAATGAAGGGAGGAGCGTACGACCCGGCCTTGAAACCGAAACGGAAAAAAAAGGATAAGGAGCGACAGAAAAAGTTGCAAGAAAAGTAAGTCGCATTACAGCAGATATTTCTTTATTTATTATTTTTTTTTCTTTTCTTTTTAGAATTTGTTCCTCTTGCTAGTAGATGATCACTTGTAATTGTGAATTAGGACGAAGGTAAGGCTATAGTTCAGTTGCTTCGCTGTCCTCGATTTTTATTGTCCCTGATCGAACGATGAGTAAATCGTTGTGTACAGTGGACGAAGAAAATATTCGCACGATTAGTTTTATATTGAAAATCTTTGCGAAAATAAGCGACGTATTAACCAAATCTGTCTCCATGTACAAAAATATATATACAAAAATGATGTGCACAGTAGCAAATTTCAGTAATGCGACAAGAAAAACGAGAAACATAAAAATTAGAGAATTAAAAAGATATTGAGGGATTTTTCTTTATAGTTCTACCGTGTATTAGTACATTGATATCTTTATGAAAACAAATGATACACAAACGAAATTTGTTTTCATAAATAGTTTGCCGTGCACAGTATTGATTTTCAATAGAGTTACACAATAATAATACGAGTGATAGAAAAATTCGAGAACCAAAAGGACACATGACAGATTTTTTTTTTTGCAATTCTATCTTGTAGCAGAACATCATGCTCTTTTGTAATAGTACATTTAGCTGTTTTGTAATATCTTTATCAAAATATTAACAAAATTCGTTTTCATAAATAACTTTCGTAACGTGTGCAATACCAATTTCTAATAGTTATATCAGTTATATAATGATACCAATTTCTAATAGTTATATCAGTTACATAATGATATATGAGTGTATGAGTATATGAATTATACAATGATAATGCAAATAATAGAAAAATTTAGGGATCAAAAAGATATTGACACATAAGAGATTCTTCTATCGTACATCCATATTTTTTTTGCAATATCTTTACGAAAGCAAATATGTTATACATATATTACAATAATGTTAGAAACAATCGAAAAATTCGAGACTCAAAAAGATATTGACATATGAGGAGTTCATTTTTGCAGCTTTAGCATGTATTTAAATAGAATATAAAACAATGATTTAAAAACAAAAGTAACTCACAAAAGGATATCCTGTAATTTTTCCAACGACACTCCGTCATTAAACGCAGATTAAGCACCGAAATCACAAGGATGTCAATTCTTTTACGACTCTCGACTTGTTGTACTCAACTTATTACTGGAAATTGCTGTTATGCGCATTACTTTCGCACACTTATGGAAACAGATTTTGCTAAAGTGTCATTTGCTTTTGCAAAGGTGCGTCGAAACTTCTTTAGAGTATGTATAATTAATATATCATATTAATTTCACCACAATGTTTTATATTCTGCCTATGAGAATTCGAAATGAACGAAATATAATCGATGAAAATTTGAAACAAAATACATTCGTTATTTTGCAAGTGCAACCGTAAATTTTCTTTCGAGCCCGAGGTCCAGAATGAATTCTCACGCCCGTGAGTCTCACCCCATTCACGGGCAGTTCTCCTCCCATTCATCTTTTTCTTGTTGGCAGCCGTCTGAGAATCTGTATCGCTTACGTTACCGCTCAATCTCCGTGGAATCACGATACGCTTCATCTTCACGCTCGATTTACGCTAGCCCCTAGTATTCCGCGCCCTGGCCAAGGCAAATATTATCCTCTGTTCTTCGGCTATTGACTCGCGCTGTCGAGTACACGCTCGATCGAGCATTGTTCAAGCTAATTTTCTCTTTACGTCGTCCCCTTAAACAAAAAAAAAAAAAAAAGAACGTAAAGAATAATTACAAAATTGTCAGCCTTTACTTTCGAACGTCGTTCGTTGTCCGCAGGCTGCAACCTCATCCCCTTTTAACAACCTAGAGAGAAGTTCCTAGGAAATCCGAGGATCCTTTGCGTCTGTTCTACAGGCTGATTCATGTAACTTCCACACGTGAAACAAACCTTTGAATTACCCGTCTAATGAAAAAATTCTTCGGTACGAACGTCGTATGGATTTTAACCTCTTGCGCTGGAATGACGCACTACATACGTTGATGAGTATTTCTTTGTTCCAAAACTGTAATATTTTCTTCAGTTTTGAGTATATTTATAAGTGAAACACAATAGGCAAAACAAATAATAAATTCATTACTTCTCTCGATAATTTCTATCCGGTGATATCGTGCCAACGAGTTCAAAGAGAAAGCGACGAATTATTGCGTACGGTTTTGGTCACTCGTTATGGTCCGCAATCAGTTGCCAGCAGCAAGTGGCTCGAGGCAGGCAAAAATACGGGCGTGTCAATGTTTTTGCGTGTGTCGAGGGGTTTCGAAATTTTCCAAGGTCATCCTTATTTTCTTTAATTGGACCGTGTATGTTTTTCTTTTTCGTAAAATCGAGAGAATATTAAATTCCGAGTGAAAAATGGTATCGAGCCGCATTGGTCCTAAATTTGGTGGTTCCTTTACGATAACTTGCCTCGAGGATGAAAACTGCATAGAGCATTAGGGTATTTGCTTACATTGATGATCAAATTATCTCTTTAACCATTAGATTTAGGACAAATGTGGGTTAATACTTTTTTACTTGAAATTTGATATCCTTCCGACTTGCAATGAAAAAAAAAAAAAATACAAACGACCTTAGAAACTTCGAAATCCACAAAAAATTGATTTAGTAATGTATTAATCCCTCAAAACCGTGCAATTTTTGTATCCAAACAATTTTCCAACGGACGCGTAATTTAACAGTTATTCCAGGCGTTGCATGTTACGCGAATCACCCTGTATATCACTCTTTCCGCGTAGCATATCGTGTCGACGTACCACCGAATTTCTTTACTTACTTAAAACAAAAAAGAAAAAAAAAAAAAAATGCAGATGAACGTCAATTCTGTGGTATCAATTTTCAATATGTTCCGTATCTCGTCGTACGCTCGAGCAAAGATTAAAATGACCGCTCGGCCGTGGCGCTCGTATCTTTTCGTTCCAGCGATTCCAAGAAGCCGACAGCCAGCCATCTCTCCTTCTCAAAATTCCTTTGACTCCGTTCGAGTCCTTCGTTCGACGTCCCAGTTCCGAGTTCCGCAGCGACAGACTCGTTCGAAACGACATATTTCGAAAAATCGAACTCGACTTTGGTCGCACGATCATTTTGTAATTTCGGTCCCGGCGTGACGGAGACCGGATGCCACGTAGGGTTGGAGAGGATGGGGAGCAGCCAGCTCGAGACGCGGCCAGACTGCTTGGCGTTGGCGGATTCCGGTTAAAAGCAGCTGCACAACTCGATTACTCACTCACGCCAGCGCGTGTAACGTGTAACGCGCGTCGCGCCATTGGCGATCCATTCTCCTCTCTTTCTCTCTCTCTCTCTCTCTCTCTCTCTCTCTCTCTCTTTCTCTCTCTTGTCAGCCGCGAGCAAAAAGACGCCGAGCCGAGTCGAGCCGTCCTCTTCCCATCTCGCGGACCTGTCTCGCGACGTACCGCGTCTTCCTTTTTCTCCTTCTCGTCCGGAGACGATCGATAACGATCTTTTTGGGATATTCGCGATGGGAAAACGAACTCTCGCGAGCTGAACTTTTCGGCTGGGGATATCAGATATTTCTTGCTTAACTACCAAACTGGTCGAAACGACCAATTTATAGTTTCTGTTACTATTAGATATCTTACGAACGCAATAACACTGTGTTTTTAAAGATTTGAATAATTTTTTGCAAAATACACATATAAATGAAAGCTTATGTACATTGTATTATTATAAAGTTTCTTTATTTTTTTTTTTTTTTTTTTTTTGACTTTGATGTCTCTGATGGAAATTTTATGTTTCAATCATCGGTAGTGTTCTAGTGTTAAGGATTGGAAAATTTTTTTCTTTAGCCTTTTTTTGTCATTATGTTTGAACGAAGCAGTGGTCTGTTTATTACGAATGTACTATGTAATTAGAGAATGTCCGTCTGGTATTGCTTTGATGCACAGTAGATCAAAAGGGCTGGAACAGGTGGAACTATTATAGTTGTTTTGCAATATTTTTATGAGGACGTGTTAAATCTGGCTTTGTAAATAAACTGATTCGCAAATAGTAAATTACGTACTGTTTTCATAAATTGTTTACTACATATAAAAGTAATGCGCGCAATAGCAATTTCTAATGACGAGTTGTACAAGATATTACATTAATTAAAAAATATATATATATATACATATATATATGTATTATCGTTAATAATTAAATATTGTTTAAATACAAAGAGTGGTGGAATTACAAAGAAAAATCTCTCATGTATTAATATCTGTTTGATTCTCAAATTTTTATATATATATAGCTATAATATATATTTTGTTTTATTTTATATAATAACTATAATATAATATAATATAATATACTATAATATAATATAACTATAATATAATAGTGTACATATTATGGTTATATTATATCATAGTTAAATATATATTAAACTACTTACTTTTATTATATAAAAGTATTTACTTATCATAATACAATATAATATATAATGGTTATGTTATATTGTAGTTAAATATATAATACGTATATTTTAATTAATATATACAGTATACATTTTGTATAGCTCATTATTGGAAATTGCTGCTGCGCACATTACCTTTGTATGTAAAATAAACCACGTACGGAAGTCATTTGCTGTTCATAAAGATATCTCTAAAAATCTAGGCGTGCCGATACTTTTTCGGCCCATTGTATATAACGGAAACAAGCTAGAAACACGGATCGATGTGGCGTGCATTGCGAAATACGTACATACGCTTGATTTTTAACATTTATCACGAAAAGAAGAAGGGGAAACAGTTTCGAAGTTTGAAAGATATAAGAGTGTTTTGATTTTTATCGTCGATAAAGCACGTTATTTTTCGGCGAAATGTTTCGAAACTTTTTCGAATGTCGTGCAAATTCGTCAGAGTAGAAAAAAGGCAAAAAAAAGGTGGCGGGGTATTGCGATCGATTTTATCATCGACGGCGATGTTTAATAAAGACCGGATAGATTTTTCACGAAATCAATTGCAC